AGACAACCAGTTTTCTTTAAGCAGTTTAAGGGGACCATGCACCGTATGCCCAAAAACTAACTCTGCGGGACTAAACCCCAAAGATTCCTGTATGGTCTCACGTACAGAGAACAACAGCAACGGTAATCCTTCGTCCCATTCTTTTTCCGAATCAACACAGTAAGTGCGTAACATAGTTTTCAAAGTTTGATGGAATTGTTCCAGTGCCCCCTGAGACTCAGGATGATAAGCGCTGGAAATGATGTGTTTAACCTTCAACTGGGACAAAACTTGATTAAACAACCGGGACATAAAATTTGTTCTTTGGTCCGTCTGAACAATTCTCGGAAGGCCAAAAGTAGAAAAGAACACAATTAAAGCTTTCACAATGGCTTTAGCTCTCAACGAACGAAGTGGTATCGCCTCAGGATAACGAGTTGCTGTGCACATAAGCGTAAGCAAGTAAGTATGACCTGCTTTTGTTTTTGGCAGCGGCCCGACACAGTCTAATATTATGCGCTCAAATGGTTCTCCGATGGCAGGAATTGGCTTAAGAGGTGCTGGGGAAATAACCTGGTCTTCCCAACCATCTGACAAGTATGACATGATCTACAATATTTTGTGACATCCGACTTAATCTTAGGCCAAAAGAAATAACGCAAAACTCGATAAAGCGTTTTAGCCACACCTAAATGTCCAGCATGTGCCACACTTAACACTTGTTCTCGAAAACATTTGGGAACTGATACAATGTGTCCCAACCTGAATTATCAGACACGGAAGGTGTCCATTTCCGCATTAATACTCCATCCATATCATAATAACCAATTTGCTTTTTCACAATTTGTTCTGAACTTACAGCAGCATCTCGGCAAACTTCGAGCGACTGATCTTGTTTTTGCTCGGCAGCTAATAATGCCCGATCTACTGAAAGCAACAGGTCAGCGGAACCAAATTCAGCACCACTGCTAATGGACAGCGGTTTCAACGCGGACTCAGACAGTAATGGACCAGAATCAGTCACGTTTTCATCAACAAGAAAAGTGTCAGAAAGATCAACTACAGTGGGAAATTTTTGTGATTGAGCCCGAGTAATCACGCAGGCAGGAAACACAGACAAATCTACCGCATCTGGCTTACACACAACGGATGTTTCATCTAACGGATTCTCAATGACCTCAGGAAGAGGGAAAACTTTTCCACCTGCCAAGTCATTTCCAATTATCAGAATTACGCCATTTATAGGTAATTGAGCACGAACAGCCACCTTTACGAAACCAGTTACCCACTCAGATCGAATATATATTTTATGCAAGGGAACCTTTTCCACCTGCATTGCAATTCCCTGCACTAATACATCCGAACCACAGTACGTTTTCTCCGAAAATGGCAACGAACTTTTCAAAATAAACGACTGCGCTGAACCTGTATCACGCAACATAGCAACAGGCACTTGATCATTTTCCAGATCACTTAAGGAAATCATTCCTCGACCAATAAAAGGTTCAAAAATTGCATCAATTTCTGGCTTCGACGGTTTAGTAATAGTTTGTACGAAACCAACTCCTTTATGCTGTTGAGTCCTATTTTTCTTTTTCAAAACAGGACATACAGCAATCAAATGACCCGCTTCGTGACAATAAAAACACTCACGATCATCAGGTTGCACTGATGTTTTCAAGAGTTTAACTGGTTTTACAGTTCTCTCAGAACTCGCAAAATTTGATGTTTCTTGACGAGCAGGTGCCACGAATACGTTTTTGTGCGTTAATACAAATTCGTCAGCACACACAGCGGCCTCCGCAAGGGTCACAACTTTTTGCTCATTCAAGTACACCACAATTTTATCGGGCAACGAATTTTTAAACTCTTCAATCAAAACGAGTTTACGAAGCTCATTAAAATTTGTCGTTTTGTTGGCCTGACACCATTTATCAAAAAGTGCGCTTTTCTCACGCGCATACTCAACGAACGTTTGATTGGCAGTTTTCACATGCAAACGGAACTTTTGGCGATAAGCCTCGGGGACAAGCTCATAGGCTCTCTCAACACAGCGGTTTTTACTTTTTCATAATCTAAACTGTCGTTAAGGGACAAAGCGGAACAGACTTCCTGAGCCTTTCCAGTTAAACGACATTGCAACAAAAGAGGCCAGACTTCTTTCGGCCAGCGCAAAGCAGCGGCGACGCGTTCAAACGCACCAAAATATGAATCAACCTCGGCCTCCCGAAACGGTGGCACGAGGTTGATTTGTCTACTAATGTCAAAATCCGAATTTACAGAAGGCATAGGCAACGATGAATCAGACGCACGATTTAAACTCAGACTAGTTCGAACAACAGCAGGTAGCGTTGGTTTAGCCTCACCAAGCGGTCGACCAGCCTGTGTCTCCAATTCACATTGTCTAAAGCGCAAGAGTTGGGTAGTATGTTCTTGACGTTTAATTTCCAAATTGAGTTGTTTTAATTGGATAGCGAGTTTTAAATCTTCCGTATCTACCCCACTAAGTGAATGAAGCACCGGTTTACTGCTCGAAGCCTGCTCTTCATCCCTTTCGCTTTCCCCCATCTCCCTACCCTCAATTTCAGGATTTTTAACTGCTGTTAAGACACCCTGTCGTATCAAAGCATCCTGTATTACGTCCCGCACTTCTTTTTTACGAGTTGATTTTACTACAGAAATGTCATAATAATCAGCAATCAAATACAAATCCTCTTTACGACACAATTCTAACCCTTCACGCGAAGGTTTTTGTCGAAACGCATCAATACTAAAATCCATTCTATATCCCTTTCCCCGATTTTCAAGAAAAAACTGCCAATAAAACGTCTGCACCAGCAAAAGGAGAAAAAGAGATGTATACATACCATAGGACGAACTTGTTACCATAACGTGTCCGAATTCGTTACGAAAGGACGAGCCCCCATTTGTTACGTCCCGTATTATAAAGACGGTTGGACGTGGAGTTTATTGATGTTAAAAGGAAACCAGCCCCGGCTGACCAAAGACACAAAACTAGGTTCTAATAAAAATATAATTTATTTTTATAATGGAAAGAAATGATTAAATTAAGGAGTAATGGCTTCAGGGTGCCCCAAGGCCAAAATAATAAACAAAATAAACTTATAAACAAACATACATAAATTACCTAATCAGGGAGTAAATCAAATTACAAAGTAACTTCCCTAACTCCCTATAAATAAACAAATCGCAAACGAAGTCAAATTAAATGGCAGGACGCTCCTAAATCATACAAACAAAGTCGTAGTAAATCATCAGTAACACATAATCATAAAGTCGAAGGGTTTGGGATCTGTCGACGGGAGGAGGAATCCGGAGCTCCTAACGCCACGAGGCCAACGCCCGAATGAGCTCCCCATCTTCAGTGAGCGCCGCCCTTTTAAATGCAGTGCATCAGTAGATCCACCAATCAGGGCACTCCAGCTGCAATCACTCCTGGACACATACACAGACAGAACACCAACAACCCACACAAAACAAATACCGAGGATCGTAACAGGTGAAAGTCTTTGAAGGTGGAAGCGCGTTGCAGTCGAAACCTTTAAACGAAACTTTACAGCAAAACTTAACTTTTTTAAGTTTTGCCGAGACTTTTAACGAAAAGAAAACAAAGGAAAAGAAAGGAAAGTGAGGCGAGTTGAGATTGCTTGAATGAAGATGTTTTAAACCCTGATTTTGAGTTGGGTCATTGTCTCTGCGTCTACATGGTTACTATAACCATCGTCTGCTCCACCCGACTTGTTCTGCCGAGACCTTTTCCGAGGGAGGGAGCAAGAGCACCAGAGAGCAGAGGGCAAGAGCCCCAGAGAACCAGAGAGAGCACAAGAGCAAGAGAACGAGAACACAAGAGAGGTGTAAAGGGGTTTCCCGGGTCTAAGATTTTAAACTCAAAGTTTGTCCAACCTCCCGGATGCGTTCTAGCCAATTAGGAGGTGGCCCTATTTTCTTCTTATCGTAAATCATGGGTCATCTATGATCTCCTTGTTCTCCAGCACTAGCAGAGAGAACAAGAGGCCACAGTTTAGACATTATTACTATTATAAAAATACAAAACATTTTACACAGATTTCAATCGAGCCATCTTTTGAATTAAAAATATACAATCCTGCTGACAGGAGGCACGGCACACTTTCATTCACACACCTAATATTTATAACAATTATGAATTGTATGGCATCTCTAAGCATATGAGACACACACATATATTGTAGGAACAACATAGAATTGTGCAGTTGCATGATGTTTGAATATAAGTCCATCGAGAATTGTTCTTGGATGAGTTTATGGATTTTGATATGTAAAGTGTTTTAGCGTGTAAATTTTGAGGGGCTTGGTCCTTAAGAAAGGCGTAGTCTGTTAGTCGCAGGGCCCAGAGGTGACCTCTTGTTAGGGCCTCTTGTTTCACCATTTCTGAACAGATCTGTCTGTGCCAAATTATAAGACATTGACAACGTTCTTCCTTTAGTTAAACAACAAAAAGTCCTTTTGGGTCGCAGACTCTCTGGGTGTGGTGACTTGAATCTGGAATGTGAAGCCTCTTCCGTGTGATTATGTATGAAAGCTTCAATTATGTTTGGCTCATTCTCATAGTTGCTACAACGTCTTGATTTGGTTTTGTTTCATGTTCTTATTTCATTCCTGTCATGTGATCCCATGTTAGTCATGTGATCCAGCTATGTGTTCTGTGGTGTCATGCTGCCATTGGTTCATTGTTTCAGTGTTCACAGGTTTCCCTTGTCTAGTCATCAGTCTAGTGTATTCAAGCCCTCGTGTTTGCCATGTGTCTTTGTCAAGTATTGTTTCACTTGTCTTTAAAGTAATGCAAATAGTTACTTTTTCAGGGAGTAATTCAATATTGTAATGCAGTACTTTTAACTTCCCCCAACACTGTATACAGTCATTATAGAAAAAAAATCATTTTGTTTATTGGAAGTACTTCTTACTTAATGGAGTAAGGAGGGAGAAAAAAGCTAAAAGTGTCCAATCATTTTATCTTTGTTTGATTATGTAGACTGCGCAGTCATTGATAAGTCACTGGATATGACATCACTGATGTTGCTGCTGACAGTTCTGACTGTTGCTAGGTGATGATCTCACAATGGAAGAACACAATGACATCACTCCACCAGCTCTGATGGACAGACAGCAGATGAACAGATGTGGAACATGAGATTCTGAGACAGACAAATAGAAAGACATTAAAAACATTTATTGTGTTTATCATTGCATGTCTTATAGCAGATTCTTTATATAAATCATTTCTCACCTTCACTTTTGTCTTCAGTTTGGCTTTGAGATTTGATGCATTCTGATGAAAAAGCTGTTGAATCATAATTCACAGTCTTATAATCTGAATTAATTTCATTATATTCACTGTACATCATGCAATTGTGAATTTCACTGGATGTTTTACTCACCACATCCACAGAGCCGCTATAATGAGAAACTGAGGTACAAACACCAGAATGACTGTATAATGGCTGAACGCTGTGCTGTCCACTGGATATTCACAACACAAAGAAGTGAATCATGACCATCAGAGAAACAATCATTTCAAACTAAAGCACATGTATCATGAGAGAAGTGTCACCTTCTACAGCACAGGAATACTCTTGAAGATCTTCATTGCTGACTGAGTCCAGGTACAGCTTGTTGGCTTTAGTGAATCCATCCGTTACCAGCCGTCCGTTCTTGAACCAGATGTAATTATGATTGTTGTTCAGAGTGCATTTAGTTGAACAGCTTAATATCACTTCCTGTCCCTCTGATATAATGTTTGGGCTGCTTATCACCGTCATATCTGAAAAACAGAGTTGAATTACTTCAAGTTGGGCCCAACATTGATTTGGATGACATGGAAAACAAAAACTTTATAAAATTCTTGATGGCAGTAAATTGTGAATCTTCTAATTAAAATGTTATCAAATCCATCATGATCAGTTACCAGTGACAGTAAGCATGACTCCAGGTGATCCAGAGTATTTTCCTTCTGCTGTGTCAGTGATGATCCTGAATTTATATTCTCCAGAGTCGTTCATCTTGAGCTCTTTGATTCTCAGTGTGTTTCCCTCATACTCCACACGACCAGCAAACTGAAGCTCCTCACGCAGATCACTGAAGTCACCAGGCCGACCGTAATGCCAGAATGTTTTATTTACAGTATAACCAGAGGAATGTGAGTATGTGCTGGAAATATCTACTGTTGAGCCCATCAAAGCACAGACTCTTCTAGAGGAGTAAGACACATCCCAGCAGCCACTCTTAGAAATACCTGAAAGAGTCACAGATTAACATGTAAAACTCACACTTACTTTAAAACTTGTTTAAATATACACATGGATGAACAAACAGTACCGCATTGTGTGTATTATTTGACACTCACACACAGAAGAGGAGCGATGTTTTAAGTTAATATCAAGAGCACAGGAATATCTGCCAGCCTCTGTGCTGGGTGACACAAACATGTCTCGAGACACTTTACTTGTGTAATACTTTCCATTCTTCATCCAGTAATAATACTCAGCTCCAGCGGTGCAGGAAAAATCACAGGTCAGTTTTATACTCTGATCTCTCGGGTCTGTAGGATTCATTCTCACCTGCAGGACTGAATTAAAGTAAAAAATAAGAAATACTTCATCACATGACAAAAGAAAACAGCTGAAGTGACCAGAATCTAGACTCAGTTTCACCTGTGACTGTTAGATTGACGGCGACTGAGCTGAGATGTTTAACTCCATCCTTCATGATGAACATGAGCTGATATTCTCCAGAGTCTCTCTCTCTCAGGTCTGATATTGTGAGTGTTGAACGGTCTTTTAAGACCTCCTGCTTCACCCGTCCTGAGTAGTCCGAGTCTAAAGTCAAATCTTCAGGTTCATCATTCTTTCTCCAGTTTGAACTTTGTTTCTGGCTGACCCAGAACACAGTTTTGATGTTGTTGATGTTGGAGAAATAACACGTCAGTGTCTCCTGAAACTCCTTCACAGCACAAATATTCTCTTGACTACAGGACACAGAGAAGCGGTCCAATGTTACAAAGCCTGAACAAGAAAACATTTCATTACTGAGATGAAGTTTACATACAGACAGAGGAGAGATCCTCAATTGTTACAATCCAGATTCACCAATCTGCTGCTCACACACACACACACACACACACACACACACACACACACACACACACACACACACACACACACACACACACACACACACACACACACACACACACACACACAACCAACGCATGATGATCAATTTAGTTCAAATTAAAGTATTGTCAAAAAAGTCTATTTAAAATACACTGACATTGGAGAACAGAGAGGAAAGTTAAACTATACCAACATTCAGACTCACTGGACATGAAGTTAAAATTAAAACAATCACTTTTGGAACATGTTAAAGATAATTAGAGCCATTTACATTAAAACCTGACCGATGAGAATAAGACACTAATTGTCAAACCTGTATTGAGCAGCAGCAGCAGGATCAGAGGTAAGAGTCTGGAGTTCATGTTCTTCACTTTCTGTACATTCAGATTCAATGAAACACACAGAGCTGCTCGTCCTGAGAGAGAAAAAAGACACACTCATTGAGTTTGACTGAGACACTTGAAGGGTCGTACAGTCAGAATCATGAATCATGTAACACACTTCAGAAAATCATGCTTAAAATGACGTTTAATGTAATGTTTAAATGCAACGAACGATTAGATTTACCTACATTACATGTTGCTGTTGTTCTCTGATGTTAGTTGTAGTTTCTACTGTCTGTTTTAGAAGCTGTGCAGACTTTCTGATGATCTCATTTCCTTCCCCTTTCTTACTAACTCACAAAAAAGGAGATGCTTACGCTTCAGAAAATGTTTACTGTCAAACTCAGCTCAGGAAGTCAGTATTAGTCATTATGTTACATGATCTTATTAATCAGTTTAAATTAATTAAACCGTGAGTTTTATTATTTTCTATTTTTAAGTAAAATTAAATGAAAATCTAAACAGACAAAAAATAGTAATATTTATAAATATTCCAGAACCGCATAAATTAAAGGCAACTATTATATAATTATTTCTCCTGAAATAACTTTGGGAATCTTAAGTTTAAGGCCTCTTCATCAGAGGCCCTTTTCTTCTATTTTTTTTTATAGGCACAGGATTATGGGAAATCATACAAAGATACATTTATGCTGTATTCAATAATCAACAGCATAAATCTCAGTGATGAATCAGGAAAATAAAAATATATATTTCTTGCTTATGTTTTATCATTTTCTTATGTTTTATCCTTTAATCATTATAGATCTTAAGTATCATTTAATCAAATGTAATCAATCATATTTTAAGAAACCATTATTATCATGTTGATGTGTTTCTCATTACTATCATTTTGATGTTTACCATTATTATCATTTGAAATGTATGTTTAATACTTTTCTTTTATTAATCTTTATGCCTCAAATATAGCTGATTGACTTGAACTTGCTGTTTAGGTGAGGGCAAAAGTCTAAGTTTCTGAAAGACAGACCACAAATGCTCGAATGTCTCAGAATAAACGAATGTTATGTTAGCTAAGCATCTTGCAGTGTATGGGCTAACACCTCCGAGTGTGAAAACATGAACACTAGATATGTGTGTGTCTTGTGTGTCTGCTTCGATGCAATATACTATGAAAAGAGGAACTTAGCCCTGTTCCGATAATAGGGAGATCAGTTTCTGCACAGTCTATACCTCTGGAATAAGACCTTGCTCATTTGCAACCTGTCTTTTCAAAGAGAGATCTCTCAACTTTGATTATCTTTAGGCTAAGAATATGATATTTAGAGTGTGTTAATTACATTTTAGTGTTCATTTTATGTTTCTTTATTAAACTTTTAATCCTTTTAATTAATTACGGATGAATTAATTTGACTCTTCGTTTATTATTTGATTGTCTGCTGTTAAGAAATAAAATTTGATCACTTAGACCCTGTATCACTTAGAAAGACAGAATGTTACGGTATGATGTTTTTCTCTGACATACAGTAAATATAAAACGCTAATGTTCGATAAGAATGTCTTATATTTCAGCAGCAGAAAAACTCAAAGGTCAACAGAGATACAAATTTAAAGGATATTTCACCCACAAATGAAAATTGTGTCATCATTTACTCACCTTCATGTTGTTCGAAATCTATATGAGTTGACTACCATCAACTGTCTGGTCAAGCAGCCTGGTCTCATTCTTAAAGGGGTCATATAATGGTACATGCACTTTTACAAGTTGATTGTACTGAAATGTGTGTTGGCAGTGCCTGTACACAACCATCATATAATGATAAAAATCCATCCAGTGTTTTTGTTTTAATCTCCTTATATGTTTTCCCCTGCCTCAAATCGAGCCTCTCCCACGATTGTTGATTGACAGGAGCGTTTCAACACAGACCCGCCCTCGCTCGTGAGGGAGCGAGCTGTCAATCATAGTCTGCGCGGCGCGGACCGGCGCGGTCATTGTTGATATGCTGGAGCACTGTCTATGAGCAGAATGGACGTCTAAGCGATTGTGGTGTTCTGTTCTTGTGTGTAATAACGAACACAGCAGTCATTTTAATGTTCCTAAATCCGAACCGCTGAAGACGCAGTGGCTGAGTTTGTTTTCGAAGGGAATATTCCCCACGAGCAACGTCAATGCTCTCATGTTTGCGCGAATCATTTCTCACCAGACTGCTTTATAAACGAGGATCAGTATAAAGCTGGATTTGCTAAGAAGCTGCTCATGAATAAAGGATCGGTACCAGATATTCGTGTTCCTGCTGAACCTCTAGAAGACGTGTAACGTTTTATTAAACTTTATATTAATATATTAATCTTTGCAAATCGCTAGCTGCACGCTTCACAATGAATGCGTCTAAGGTTTACACTCAGGGTACATTACGGCATGTTTTCTATGTATGACGTTCTCAATGTAATTCATAATCCCACGTTTATACTGAACAACGCTATGGTTATTGTGTTATTGAGTTACAAACGGTGTACACAGAACAGAGAGGCGGGGTGAGCAAAGCTCATTATCATTTAAAGGCATATGCACTGAAACGGCGTGCTGAAAACAGAGCTGTTTTTGACCAATTAAAATAAGTGTTTTCTTACAATACTAATGAGAATTTTTAATTAAAGTATATTACAAACTTTTAATTTAGACCCTAAAGAATCATATTAGCTTGTACAAAAATGACATTATATGACCCCTTTAATACGTTATTTTCAAAGATAGAAAACTTTCTTTTTTGAACGTTAGGATCGGGTTTGGATAGATGCTGAAACGTATAATATGGACGTATCTGCAACATTTAAACGTAACATTATTACGATTATACAGCTACAAAACGTTAACTATTTACGTATATTCCATATCATAAAGATAGCTGTATAATTTCCCTTTTACCATTTTATAGATAAATGTAAGATCCCTTATTCCCAAACATAGCATTTTATACAAAATACAAAAAAGATAAAGCGTAATGGACAGAGATGTGTAGGGAAATGCCAGTTTTATTAACAATATAGCATTAAAATATATTTTGGGCCACTAATCCTACTTCTACCCCTAAACCTACCCATAATCTGTTATATTTTTCTTCATAATTGTAGTCTACGTAGTTTTAAGGAATGGTTATGGCCCATAACCATTCCTTAAAACTACATAGACTACAATTATGAAGAAACACATAACAGACAGACAAGTTGTCACGATGTGGGTTTGTGTCCTGTCATGTTCTATGGTTCCCTGTCTTGTCTATTAGTTATCCCGCAGGTGATTCTGATTTCTCACGCCCCCTTGTTATCTTGTCTAGCTCGTTTGTACCTGATTATTTAAGCCCTGTGTTTCAGCCTTGTCTTTGTGAGTTCTTGTTTAATGTTTGACTGTTAACGTTGGTTGTTCTTGTTCTCGTATCCTGTTCCTGAGTCCCGAGTCCTGTAGGCCTATCCAAGTTTAGTTTATAGTCTGTTAAATAAAGTGTGTGTTGCATTTGGATCCTGCTTCATCTCTGCTTCAACCGCACCTCGTTACAGACTATAAACTAAACTTGGATACAGAACTCGGGACTCAGGAACAGGATACGAGAACAAGAACAACCAACGTTAACAGTCAAACATTAAACAAGAACTCACAAAGACAAGGCTGAAACACAGGGCTTAAATAATCAGGGACAAACGAGCTAGACAAGATAACAAGGGGGCGTGAGAAATCAGAAACACCTGCGGGATAACTAATAGACAAGACAGGGAACAATAGAACATGACAGGACACAAACCCACATCGTGACACAAGTATCAATCACAATAATTTATTTATTGCGAAAATGTCAAAACCGGTATGTTGATGTTTTGCAGTCGCAGTCCTCTCTGGCAGTTTTATAATAGTTTTTTATGAGGTACAGAGCAGAATTTAAGTTAATAATCCATGAAAATGTTAATCCGCCTTCGGTTCG